CCATGCTCTTCTGGGGTGGAGTTGATGGCCTTTGGAGTAACAGTTTCTAGGGGAGCCTTGAAATGCACCAACCTCTCAGTAACCCCTGCTCCCGTACGTGGTGAGCGCAATGGAGTTTGGAGCAGCTGTGACATTGTGTTTATTTTAGTTAAAGTTTCTTTGAATCGCTATTTTGGTAAAATAAAGTGGTATTACATTGTTATATCGAGGCGAGTGTTCGGAAATATAATTACAAGTCTTGTCATAAAAAACACGAACGTAGGTAAGTAAAGTTTATTTATGAATTGAAAGCGCAATACATTCATTCATTGCATATACATTGTTTAATACGTGCTATGCACAGATCTCATAATACACTAGATAGTGCAACTGACATACAAGTTTAAGCCGGGCAAATTTACTTATGGAGCCCCAAAGGAGTGAGAATCAATAAGGCGTTGTATTAGAAAATATGTGGTTCAAGTTAATATCTTGCAATTATTAGGAAATCGCGAAGGTTGCATCAACTTTATTTGCAGTATTTATGAAATAAATCATTGTGACTATTGCTTTTAAGAAAAAAAAATTGCAGAATACGCCAATACATCGCCGTAAATTGATTTTAAGTGTAGCTTGACGAAGGCTTAAGATATTGGGGTTTGCACATCTAAATATCATATCACAGCACAATCTGCGATAGTGTGGCTTAGTTCGGGTGGCAAATATAGCGATATCATACTCGATCTATGGATGTATTGTAGTCATTAATGTACAACAAGCATAATGATGAGCGGTATGAAATCTTTTTAATATATTATTCTGTTTGATTGTACCGTCAAAATTACATTACACTTTGCGTTAAATATTTACACTATTTCAAATAAAGGTGTTAGCTAAACTGTACAACTAACACAACGTATAATATAATACATAACTGCTGTTAAGAAGCAAGGTCGTTTCGAAGTCTGCAATGCAAATATTTTTGTGTTCATTGACTGAAACATTAGTGAATGGTTTTGCACAATCTGTGTGAAGTGCTGGTTCACATTTCTCAAACTTCACAGTAACGATGGGACTGTATTTTAAATATAATATTTTAACACTTCAATAAGATCTTTACAGTGTTGTGCACGATTTTACGTTCCAAGCGTTGGTTCTTCGCGATATGGAATAATTAAATTGATCTCGATAAGATTAGGGACAACCGTCAATCCCCAGAACTGCGTTTTCGAAATTTATTGCCTTCTGCAATACGACTCTAATTAGATGCATGTATTGAGTATTTTTATAAACCAGTTAAATACATCTAATTATGTATATTCATAATTGATAGTTTAAATGTCATTGATGTTTAAATAATACCAACTTACTTAGTTTCTTCTGACTTTGTTATTGTACAACCTCTCTGTATAACAGTACCCTAAGTGGTAAAATCGGATCCTGCTATAACATGTTGAGATGGCTTTAATGAGTTTGTGAGTATGGTTGTCAATAACAGTTGTATCAAACATGTGTTCATCTAGTTCCTCAAAACAAGTTGCCATATTTGTGCTATTTGAGACCGAAGTAGCAATAGCATTAGGTACGCCTCTGCCACAGAATATATACTATACAGAAGGGCCACTCTTGAGTTAACTTGTCGCTAATTTTTATGCGCATGCTCCAATTCCGCCATCTTCCTGGCCAGTCAATAGCTGGCAGCGGTATATAAAACTATATGGTAAGATGCGAAGTGAAGACTGGAAAACGTCGATTTTTTTCAATTGAGGATGTTCAATCTGATGCGTAATTTATAAAATAGCAAAAGCAAGGTGTGTTTTAACTTTTCTGAAAGTTTTAAGGAATCTCAGCCGTACTTTATGCCGACTCATCGTCATCGCATGTTCGATTTGGTCAAACGATCACACTATGAATCTTTATGACACCATACGACTGAACTTTGATGATTGAACTACAGAACATTTATTTGGTGTTTCAGGATATTTTTCTGTGTTATTTAAGAAGAAAACATCCACGAATATCTGCCAATTTAAAGCTGCACTGTTTATACGATACCATTAAGACCAATATATTACTATAAATTCTATATAGTTATAGTTTTATTGAACATGTAATTAACATTTTATCAGTGGTTAGGTAGATAAATATACGATATATTGATCTTGTAAATGATCATATACCATTATAATGTATCTGAGAAATAGTGAATTGCATAAGAGCATACACACTGGCTGAACTGAAGTTTTGTACTGTTGTTTAAATTTTGGTCAATTACAAAGACAGACATGAGCTAATTAAATGATAAGATAATTTATTACTTAACTTTGGTATACAAATAAATCTTAGTTGGACTAAAAAACAACTTTGACCATGACGAATGAAATCTATGCTGTGTGTTGTAGCAATAGTTGGTAGTTGAGTAATATATTCTTGCAGTAAATCTCATAGACCAAATTTCCACTATTTATTTTATTTTAATAGAATCCTTCTCCTGTAGTTTTTTACTAGAAATAAATATAAACTGTATGGCGGAACTGTCCTGAGAATTAAAAGCAATGATCTTTAATTTTGTGAATTGTCTTGAAAACCTATGCTCATATTTTATTTTCCTTTTAAACTCAAACAATACTCAACATTGCTCAATTGATGATTGTATATGCTTTATCTGTAATAGTAGTTTGTTCCTACCGATTCAATAAAACATAAAAAATGATTAAATTTGATAATTCAAAGTGGAAGTGGTATATGGAAAACACAATTTACAAGTACTTCTTGCCAACTTTACATAACATCAGCTGTGGATTCAAGCATTAATTGATGTCAAATACTGGAAAGAAATATAAAGGAAAAGGAGGAGGACGAACATTTTGATCTTCCAAGAGATCCCAAAAGGTGAAATTTTAATCACAAATCAAATTTTGCTGTTAGAAATCAAATAAAACAACCTTTTCATACCCTAGTCATTTGTCTTTCCAGATCAAAGGAATGGGTGATTCTCAGCAGAAGAGAGGATCTTATGAACAAGGATGCAAACTACCTTTACAAAAATTGTCGATTATGCACTGATCACTTAGAAGATATGATGTTTGCAAATGATTTTAAAAGTCGATTAAAGACTAATGCAAAACCCACTCTATTTAGCATTCCAAATGCACCCCCCCACTGTTGGCACAAAATGGAAAACAATTAAAAGAGTGGACCAATCACATATACAAGGTAAACACCAAACCTAGTTTCAAGATGAAATTAGACAAATTTTAACAAATTTATTTTACAGCCAAAAAATCTAAAATGGATAAAGATCAGGAAAAAAGGAAAGATGGTATAAGAAGTTTTATTGTATGATTTCATTGTTGAGTCCAAAAATACATGGGAAACTATTTCAGTTCTAATTCTTGACCATTAGTATTGGTGAGATGTAATTATAGCTAAAGTTATTCATTTTGCATTTTATTTTCCATCTCAAGCTTTTGGTCACCACTTTGAATTAGTTATTACTCTTAAGTTTATGTTTAGAGCCACCAGATACACATTCACCATTGCACGAAGTTGATGAAAGTGGGCCTAGTACAGAACGCCAAACTTCAGATTTTTCTTGCCAAACAAGTGCTATACTATCCAATAATACACCTAGAAAACAAAAACAACGAAATTTAAAAAAAGCACAGGCAAGGAAAATAAGTCGTTTTATGCATGCAAAGAAAAATCCATCAACACATAAAAATTTGGGAAAAGCATTGGAAAAGCTGCCTAAAAACCTTGCTCATTTTGTGCAAGTGCAAATTAAGCTTTGTGAAAGAAAAAAGAAAGGGAGACGATACTCACCACAGATGAAGTCCATTGCTGTGTCCTTGTATCATGCTAGTGGAAGAGCCTATCGTATGCTCTCGTAATTAGTCATTCTTCCTTCCAAAACATCATTGCGCAGATACATCTCTAAGATGCCAGCTGCAACTGGAATATCTCAGGGAGCACTAAATATCATAAAGAAAAAAGTGGACCATATGAGAGAAAATGAGAAATTATGTAATTTGTGTATAGACGAGATATCTCTCAAAACCAACTTATTCTATGATATGACCAATGACAAAATAATTGGCCTTGAAGATTATGGAAGTGGCACAAGAACGAATAAACTGGCAAATTCAGCACTTGTCCTCTTGCTCAGAAGCATTTCGGGAAAATGGAAGCAACCACTTGGTTATGTATTGGTAAATGGAGGATGTCCTACAAGAGAAATGGAAGAGCTGATGAAGGATGCAATTGACAAAGTCAAAGGAATTGGGTTGAATGTTGTTGTAGTAATGTCTGATTTGGGGAGCAATTTTCAAAGTTTGGCTAAGCACCTGAACATCAGTCCAGAGAGTCCTTGGTTTATGCACAATCAAAGAAAGATTTATTTGATGTTTGATCCACCACATCTGATCAAATGTGTTAGAAATAATTTGATGAAATACACTTTCAAGTTCAACCAGTTCACAGCCATGTGGCAGGATATTGTGGATTTCTACAATAAAGATAAAAAGTTGTCAATGAGAGCAGCACCTAAACTGACTGATAAGCACATTGCACCAAACAACTTTGCAAAGATGAAGGTAAAATATGCCACCCAACCTTAAGCCACACAGTAGCAGCATCCATATGCACATATGTAAGTGTTGGATGTCTGCCGTCATCAGCTATGGGCACTGCAGAATGCCTTTTGAAGTTTGATTCTCTGTTTGATTCTGTGAACGTTTCAACAGTACATTCAGAAAAGTCTTTAAAATGTGCATTGACCAATACCTCTCCACACCTCAACTTTTATGAGCAAGCTATTCACTTCCTATCTAATCTCAAGATTTTTCATGGCAGCCAAGATGTAACTGGCAGAGTAAAGTGCATCAATGGATGGCTAATTACCATAAATGCGATTTGTCAGATTTGGGATAACCTTCACCAAAATTATGGGCTTAAGTTTCTTCTAACAAGAAGATTAAATACTGACCCAATAGAGAACTTTTTTGGAGCAATTTGTCAGCAGGGTGGCAACAGCGACAATCCGACCTCCATCCAGTTCACCCGTGCTTTCAGGAAGCTGTTTTTTAGTTCATTCTTAAATTCATCACAAGGCAACTGTGATGATGACTTTGATGACTTACTGGCACAATTCTGCAAAGCTGACTCAAGCATTCCTGTTTTGATTTCTCCATCTAAAAACACAAAAACTGACGATGTTGAGACAAGGGATTACAAGAAAAAGGAGGTTGGTGACAATTTAATGAAAGAGAATCGAATTGCTTATGTGGCTGGATACTGACTCCAGAAATATTTTGAAAAGCACAAGTGTTCCATATGTGAGTCAGTTATCGTTACAGACCAACTTGATGATAGCAGAAATCTGCTTTTCTACTTCAAGGCATATGAGTCAGACAAGAGCTTTGGCGGTCTCCTAGCACCAAAAGTATCATTTTATGAATATATCACCAAAATTGAAGACATATTTGTCACAGAATTCTCCACTTATACAAAAAGTGTAGGTATTTTGAAAAAGATTCTTCAGCAGCTACAAAAAGCTCCAATCCCATTTGAACAGTGCTCGCATTTTTCAATTGATTATCTTGTCAAACTCTTTCTAAGAATGAGGATTTACTATGCCATCAAGTTTGCAAATCGTAATCTATCAGCCGCCAAGTTCAAAAAAAATAAAAAGTACGTAAAAGTGACTCACCTTTAGAAGGAAAATAAATGAACCCGCATACACCTTGGATGAATCAAATGAAAGTGACCGTCAAGATTCAATGCTTTTTCAATACATTATGATGGAGGTCATCTGAACTTCTAAACTGCATCAAAGTGCCAAACCACTGTAAGTAAAAAATTCCAAGAGATTTCAAACTTAATGTCATTAACGAGGCAAAATAAAAAAAAATTCTATTGACTGCTGTTTACAAAGCTGAGGAGCGGTCACAGTCACAGAACGAAATGTAAGATTTCGAGCTTTACAACACGTTTAATTACGTTGTAAAAAAAGAAAGACATAGAATATACCTCAAATTTTGTCAAACTCTCGCTAGGAACAAATCTACGACCTTATTGAAGAGATACAGGCAAATATTTGTACTTCTCTTTACAATCCTTATATTGTTTGTCCGAAATTGACTGGCTAGGAAGATGGCGGCCGAGATGCGCGAAGCAGCATGCGCGGCCCCCAAAACATCAAAGGTTCTGACAAGAGTGGCCCTTCTGTATAGTATATATTCTGTTCCTCTGCTTTGTGGTAGATGCCCATCTGTTGAAGACAGCATTCGCTGAAAATATTTCTCAGTTTCAATACATATGTCAATGACACTTTTTGTTGGTTTTATCAAACCACCTTTATCTTTTAATGACAGGAAATAAGATTCTGCAGATTGTTGACTTGAACCAAGTGCTCCACAGCAATAGAACAGGTAATATTTCTTGTAAACCATCTTCACAACAAAGCCGGGTATATATGATATAGCAGCAGTCTCAAATTCTGAGACAACAGAAATGTTAGGTACATTAGAGAAATTTTCTTCTTTTTGACTCAGAAACACTTCTTCCAGATTGTATTTCCTAATGAGTGCAGCATCATTTATATTAATCATTTTGTCAATTCTATTATCTGAATCAGTAATAATCTCGAGAATGTCTGTTTCATCTTGCTTTTTGCAGTTTCCATTTCAGCACCTTCAATGCTGCTTCGTAAAAGTAATCTTTTGTAGGCAGCTGTGAACTGTTGGGTTTTTGTTAAATCCTCCTGCTGATCGAATTACCCCCAAAAATAGCTCTAAGTGATCTTGGCTGAACTTGTGTGTAAGTATGTAATTCATTTGTGTATTTTCTCTTTTAACTAGGTCAGAGAAAATTTGCTTGATGTTTGTTATTGCCACCAAGAGTCCCACAAATCCTGTCTTTCGGCAAGTGTTGTACAGCAGATTACCAGATACATCTTGCAGATTTATAATGTAGTTATAAGCTTCTGCTAAAAATGCCTCCTAAGTTTCTTTGTTGCTTTTTCGAAGAGCAGCCTTCTAACCTTTGGTACACGGGTTTCATGAGTTAAGAATGTCAAACAGATGATCTATGTAGACAGTGGCTTCTGATCCTTGAAATTGTGAATTTTAAGAGTGTGCAGTATTCTATTGCATCAGAAACACTGGAACTTAGTGTTTGGGCAGCCAACTTTACTTTCATTTTCTGCTGCCACCATTTTATATGTGCTTCCTTCAACTTGTTTCCAAGTCTCAAGCCTTCTTTATCTTGGAGCTTTTGTAATTCTGTAATATACTCCCAACATGTTTTTTGACCATCACCATCAACTAATATTTTGCCATCTCCCAGCATGTTCCTAATGAGCTTCATCATGTGGCAAATATCAAGGAACACATAAACTTTCCTGTTTTTATCTGAAGGATGGAGAAATATGGATGTAGTAGAGGTGGTGTAACATAGCAAATTTCGTAACATAGCGAAATGGCAGGATGGCCCATCACATACAAAAGAAATCACATCAACACCAATATCGTGAGGTTCCTTGATGCACAGCTCAACCAAATTTGCGCACTCTTGACTGCTCAGTCCATCGATAAAGAAGTAGGCAGCTGGAACTTTCCACGTTTGTTTCAAGCAAACTACCATAAAAACTAGAGCATCCTTTGCAATGGGAGAAGAATCATCAGCTTCATCGTCGTTCCGAGATCAACATAGTCACGAAATTTCTTGCAATCCCATGATACATGTTTTCTAATAGCCATTTCATCGATCATTAAGGGACACTCTACTTTCTCTTCATTTCTTACTTTCAAGGCAAGTGCTTCAAATGATGGCTGTGCTAATCTTGCTTCAGCAGTGACCTTCGTAAAACTATTTACGAATTTGTATTGGATGAGGTAAAGCTAAATTAAATGTTTTCCACACTAAATTGTAAGCTTTTGATGAATAATGCAAATCACTTAAGTTCTGGCGAGTTCTTGCATCCATGGCGTGTCTGACATCATTTTTTTGTATAGCTCTGTTGGAACACCAGATATATTTCTTTCCAGCATTTCTTCGCAAGACAACAAAATCAGATTCTTTTCTTTGAGCTGCTTTACAACTGACGTCAGTGAGGTAACTTTTTTGTTAAGGCATCTTGCTTTTTGTTGGGTCGAGTTAAGTTTCTTTTTAAGTTTTGAAACCTTTAGCTGACAAATATTCTTCATTTCCCCTATTTCATGGTTTTCAAGCGTTGTCTTCTCAGGAGGATTGTCATGGTCACCCTTGACATTCCTAATTAGCAGTCACTTTCTCGTCGTGGTGGTCTAACAGATTTAAACGTTTTCTGAATACGTTGGTGAAATTTTTGAACTGATCTTAATTATTGGTTTTATCATGTTGATGTACGATGCATGCATATCGTGCAGCAGGCAGAATTAATTTTAGCTGCAGTGTGCAACTCAGTGTGATCAATTACATGTATATAGTTATCCAACTTTTAAATAATCATTTTTTTCTAATCTTTGTTTCTAAAAACTATTATCCTAAATATTCCTTTAATTGTTATTCACCTTTTTCATATGTTGTGGAAAGAGTTTAATACGAGTTGGAGCTGCGTCTTTTTAAGATATGTCAAAACAGCTTTCCAGAAAGTGATCTGAACACAGTCTGCTTGTTGCGGCTAGGTGTCCAATGTTCTCTGTGTATATTTTTAATCCATACCTTTCTTCTTTCAAGATCAGTAGGGAATCCTGTCAAAAGTAAATAAATCGCGGCTATTTTTACCGTTGATCAAGTACAAGTGTAGAAAAAAGTGCACTACATGCATAAACACCGTTGAAGGGAGGTATGGGGACAACCTCCCTCTTTACAATTATTCTAAGTAAATTAGTGTGCATATACGGTAATTAAGATCAGAAAGATAATTAAGTAATTGCCCTTTTGCCCTGCCGAAAATTAACTTTGTCAGTGCAATTCATGTGAACGTTAAAGAGCTTACCGATGAAACATCCGTGGAAACTGTCTTTTAATGGAGGTTTCGTCGTCAGACGGCCCTTTGCTACCGCTCCAATTGAGCTCGTCGTCTTCCATATTCATTTTTTCGTGCGTTTTGTGCAGCCATATGCGCAGCATTGAGTGCCACGCTTGTCTGGCACTTTTTAAAGATGGGTAATCCTTTTTTTGCAATGTAGCTATTAGCTTTGATATTTTGCAAACCTCAGACTAAAGTACGAAATATGTATCTTAATATATATCTCTATCTTTCGTGCCAAATTCAACAAGCTGATCTCTAAAATGTCTATGACTTGTTTCATCATAATAATTCTGCAATATTTATCTAATTAAAAACATTGTAAAAACCACCATAACACAATAACAGTACATTAAGCACTGTGGGCAGTGGCCATATATCCACTGGTTTAGACTATGATGTTCACATTGCAACACAGTCAATATTACAAGTCTGGTGACTCTGCTTTAACAAGTAAATATTTTCCCACCATGTTGGACAGAATGTAACATATCAACTTGTGATATCAACAGTTTCACAAGTGACTTGCTATTTTATACTTCACAAAAAATTTGGTGTAACAGAGGTAGACTCTTCACATTTTTTCTGTAAATAATTTCTGAACATATATTTACTCACATCTTGAAATAACTATATTCGTTTGACGACTAGAAACACCAGAAAAAAGCATTTCTGGTACAATAATCCAGTGCAATATTCAATTATGTACAGTGAACAATATACTTTATATAAATCTTTCAAACTGTAATCTCCAACTCGTTTTACTTAACAATAAATATCGGAGGATAATTCCACGACGTTCGATTGAACATTTTGTGGCATATTGTGCTGTGATATATTTAGATGTGCAAATTCCAGTATCTTAAGCCTTTGTCGAGCTACTCATTCAAATCGAGCTACTCTTGAAATCAATTTTAAGGCGATGTATTGGTATATTCTGCTATCTTTTTCTTAAAAAACTATGGTCACATTGATTTTTTTCATTAATAGAGTAAACCAGTTTATGTAACCATCGTGACTTGCAAGTAATTGCAAGATATCAGCTTTGACTAGATATTTTCTAAAACAACAACATATTGATTCTCACTACTTTAAGGCTGGCCATAGACAAAGTGTAAGTATTCGTCTAAGAAAAAGTATTCAAGAGTTTTATTCAAAGAATTATCCACAAATAGTTTTTCATAAATCCAGGACAATGAACAGAGGAACACGAGTGTATGTTGATACTGTTATAGCTGGTCGATTTGCCTGTGTGCGGCATCTTGAAGCAAATTGCTTTTGTGTTTTCATCACAGCGCATGCTCAATAATTTCATATCAAACAAAAATGGCAGCTTGCTCAAATGAGTTAAATTCTGTGTCATTTTCTGATTCCGAAGAACAAGACGAAGTAGTACTTTCATGCCTGCTGCTAATTTGCCGTAGATGCAGACATTTACCAGCTTCTTGTCGTAAAACATAGACAAAGCAGTAGATTATGAGACGAGAAGCGCAAGGCATTTAATAAACTCTTACCAGAATTAAATGCCAAAGATCCTAAAAATTTGGCAGTTTCATCTGGTGGACAGGCAGTCATTTGAAGAAATTTTGAGATTTGTACACGAATCAATTGTTAAAAGAGACACAACCATGCGTAAATGCTATAACTCCAAGAGAACGCTTATTTGTCACTATTTGATCGTTATTTGGCCACTGGTATGTGCTTTAAAGGCCAATTTCCATTACAATCGCTTTGCCCGCGCGGGCGAAGCGAACATTTTTGAGCATGCGCTGTGTGAATATTGTCGACAGCGCGCGTCTTCGCCTGAACACTCGCGTGCACGCTTTGAAAGTTAAAAATTTTTTACTTTCTTGGCGAAGTCGCGCGTCCAAAGATACACGTGATTGGTATTAACCAATCACACCGCATACTACAAAAGCAATCAATGCAATGTATGATAAACATGGCGGAGTTTAACAATTCATCTTTATAAACATGCAAGCCGCTAGTACATCAGGTATGTGGAGGCGACCGTATCAATGGAACAAGGGCAAACCATAGCTCCAAGTCTTCCACCACTGGAAGCACAAAATTTGCTGGAATCCCAACAGCTTGATTTGGAAGAAAAGGACGATGATGAACAACTAGACGAACATTTGGTGGAAGAAGTTCACAGATACCGAATACTGTGGGACACATCATCAAGAGGGTATAAAGACACAGTAAAAAAGAACCAAGCCTGGAAAGAAATATCTCTCAAATTAAACAGGAATGGTGTGTATGACTTTGTTAATCCTTCATAATTGGTAAATAACTAAATATAGATGCAGATTAATGATTTAACACTCCACAAGATATGTTTCACAAACTTGTGAATAGGTTTTTGAGTACTTGGCGTCTTTCAGTGATTACATGAAGCATACATTAACTTCTGTGTTAAAAGTTTGAGTTTATGTTTGTTGATTTTGCATAATATTACCAGCTGGTATAAAATGACTAAAAAGCCAGGAGTTAATAAATACAAATGCACTCCTTACTTTTAGCTGATATTTTGAAGCTTAGATGGAAGAACTTACGAGATGGTATGATGAGATGTCTGAAGAAAATAAAAGATGCTGAAAAATCAGGGGCAGGTGCTTCTAAAACACCATCATGCAAGCTGTTTGAGAATCTACTTTTCCTTAAAGACTTTGTTTCTAATCGAGAAACAACTAGCAATATTACTCTATCTAATGAAATTATTAATACTGATTCTGGAAGTATAAGTGATGACAGCTTTGCACCTTCACCTCCACTACTTGCTTCGGGATCAACACCTGATATGTCGACTTATAAAACTCGTTGTAACAAAAGGAAAGCTCATGCTGGTCCAGATATACTGAGCAACCAAACACCAAAGCGTACAACAAAGAGATCTGACTGTCAAGATAAAATAGACTTGCTTCTTGTCAATGCATTATCTCAGTCAGATGAACAGAAACAACAAACACAAGACTGGAGAAGTAGCAATCATTTGTTCTGCAACAGTATTGTTGAAATATTGGAGAAACTACCACCCAAGAAAAATAGGATGGCCAGGGTAGAAATACAACAAGTGTTAATGAAATATGAATTTGGTGAGAATGAGTAGAATGAAATTTGAATTTACAAAAGCTGATGGTTATATGTTCAGAAAAAATAAGACCAATGTATTATGTGTGTCATTTTTTTGTTGTAAAAATTACATAAAAGAAAAGAAGTTAACATATTTCCTCCATTTTTTATTTTAAACCTTAATCTAGGAAAATTTCAGTCTACTTATTATAAACATTTTGATTTGATGAAAATATATAAACATATAAATAATGAAATAATGTTCTGTTATGACCTTTATTGAAATTAGTAGACCCACACAGATAATAAGTTTAATATTGTCTGTAGACTTGCATCAAACGTTGGTGGTCAAACTCAATAATTTATGTTGAAACTGTCAGATGTGCTTGTAACAGCTGCCTGTTGCCATGGAACAGATCCTGCATTCGAATTAAAATAATCTCGAAAATTATCGCAACATTTTTGCATTAACTGAATAATTATTGGATCCCAAGTTCGTGACATCCTGAAGACCAGGGCAGTTGTTCCCTTGCCTCCTCCAAAGCCCTTCTCTCACATGGCCTTCGCATTCAACATCAACATAATCATGTGGACAGTATGAGTTATTAATCTCAGAATGTCTACCAGCCATCAAAAAGTTGTGTAGTACAGTTATAGCCTTTGTAGCTTCAACAGCAACCTCAACACTTGCAGTAATTGCACATCTAAACAATCTGAATCTTGATGTTGCTATTCCAAAAGCATTCTCAACAATACGTCTAGCTCTTGAAAAACGATAATTCGCAATTTTTTCAGCTAATTGAATGACACCTCTCGGATAGGCTTTAACCATATATGTTCGTAATGAGAATGCATCATCTCCCACAAAAACGTATGGAAAATGTTTGTTTGTGCCTGGCAGTGTTCGTTCAGGTGGTAAATTCAACATGTTGTTCTCCATTGCAATGCCAAGGTTGCTGCTGGCAAATACACTTCCATCACTAAGCCTTCCGTAATCGCCAATGTCAACCATAATAAACTCATATTTTGAATTGACTACTGCCATCAAGACAACACTGTGAAATTTTTTGTAGTTGAAAAACATGGAACCTCCTCTTGGGGTGCATTGTTTGGTAACATGTTTCCCATCAATTGCACCCACGCAATTTGGAAAGTTCCATCTAACTTCAAAGCCACGAGCCAGCTCAATCCATCCATTAGGTGTTTGAGGAACATTCAAATACTTTTTAGCACAAAGTACTTCCCATAATACTTGACATGTTTCTTTGACAACCCGCCCAACAGTGGCAGCACTTAATCGATAACTTGCTGCAATAGAAATGAATGCATCACCAGTAACTAAGTACCTCAATGTTACTGCAAGTCTTTCTTCTGGCCCAATGGCTTCGCCGGGCTTTCCAACGTGTGATTCTTGGTGCAACTAAGCCAAGTAGCTCTTCAAACTTACTTGGTATCATTCGAAACATTTGAAAGAAAAACTCGTGGTCGAATAACATTGCCTCACGTACCAAAGTATGATATTCCCCTTTTGCTTTTCTATTTAAGTATATATTCCTTATCCAAAAACGCTTTCTATATTTCCTTCTTTGCAACCGTCGCCTTAATAAAATCAAAATAAGTAGTCTCCTATTTAAAGCCGCCATCTTGGAAACAAGTAATTTTTAAACGAACGCGCGAAGCCGCCAAGACCAATCAATGGAAATTGCATTGTGTACGCGCGTGCAATTTGTGATCACGCCCGCTAGGACCGCGCGGGCAAAGCGATTGTAATGGAAATTGGCCTTAAGGCGGTTTCCATTATGGTCGCTTCGCCCGCGCGGGCGGTTTTTTAAGTAAGCGCATGCGTATTAAAGTTCTCTCTCCATATTTGCATCGTTCGCCCAACGTTCACCTGAACGCTGACGGGCAAGCTGACGAGTCGAAGTCACATTGACTTTCATCGCGAACCATGCGGCGAACAGCAAAAACAACATGGCGGCTATGGAGGAAGGGATTATGCAGCAAGTGAATCAAGACGAAAACTTGAGTCACTTTCATGTTGTATTACCAGAAAACGTTGAAGATGACGATGGTATAGATGAAATTTTGATTGAAGAGGTCAGAAACAACGGAATTCTCTGGAATACATCGTTACGTGATTACAAAGATATTGCGAAAAAATCGCAGGCTTGGGGTGAAATTGCTTCTCGTTTGAACCGAAATAGTAAGTTTTGTTGATTATGTTAATTGTGTCACTAGGTTTGTACTACCTTTTGCTCAGATTGTTGTTATACTTGAAATAGACGAAAAAATTCTTTATAAACGCTGAACAGTGAACACTATCACGAACGACTTCTTTTGACTCTGAAGATGACTACTGCTAAAGTTGTCGAAACGTCAGTCAACATCAACACCAACAGTCCTTCTCGGGACTCAACTAACCTGAACGATCTTCATTTACAAATACGAAAGTCCAGGGTTCAAACCATTTACTTTATTACTATCAAGTACTATCAAGTACTGTCACTGTACCATATGCTATGTCAGATTTTATCTGCTAACTGAGACTAGTAACCATTTGTTTTCAATAGATATTTTTTATTAAAATGTTCTCAGTGTCAGGAATTGTGAATTATTTTATTGCTTTCTTCTGAGAAGTGAAATAATTTTGCAGGCATGTTATATACTGTTCTACTAAGTGTACTCAGTACTGTGTTTACAGTTTAATCAGATGAAATTATAGTGTTGTTGAGGAAAAAATCTAGAATTGAATTTTTGTAGGTAATTTTGAGATGGGTATGACTTGAAATATTAAAACAAAAGCCATCATCTTTGAATTTACAAAGCAAAAAATGTTGTCTAATTTTTTTGTATTTTTTATCTATTTTAGATGGAATGCTCAAACGAAGGTGGAAAAACCTACGCGATGGCATGATGGGTTGCTTAAAAAAGATAAGTGATGGACAAAAGTCTGGGGCGGGTGCTACAAAGATACCCACATGCAAATTCTTCGAGCAATTGCTTTTTTTACGTGATTTTGTTTCCAATCGTGAAACAGAAAGCAACATAAACGTAACCCCAATGGATATTCCAAACAATCAGATGCACGAACAAAAAACTGAATCTGCTAAACGGAAACTGGATGTAGATCAGTGTGACAAAAAGCAGCCTTATAAGCGATCAAAGAAACATTTTGATCGGCAAGAAAAGATTGACTTGTTGTTGGTTGATGCATTAACAAAGTCAGAAGAAGTGTCAACACAAAAGACTGAAGTGCGCAGTTCAAACCAATTGTTTTGTGACAGCATTGTGGATATTTTAGACAAATTGCCTCCTAAGAGAAACCGAATGGCAAGGGTTGAAATTCAAAACATTCTTATTAAGTATGAATTTGATGATGAACATTAGAACTCTTGCATGCATTTTTCATAATTGCTCATGTTTATTTTATATTGATATTTCTTTCAAATTTTATTGTGAAATATGTTGATATGTTGTTTGAAGACAAAAGTATATTTATTACAAAAAGGAATATAGTGTTTTGATTAATGCTGTATTAACCATTAAGAGTGTATGTCAATCCACTGTTTCATCTAATACAAGTCTGTCAAACGCACAGGGTCGTGATGTTACAATCATGTCTTGCCATGGCACAGAACCTATTGTTGAGTTGAAATAATTTCTAAAACAGTCTCTGATATTTTTTGATTGTATTGAATAGTTATTGGATCCAAGATGTGTTACATCCTGAATTCCGCCATTATTGACATTCTCCCTTCTCCACTCACCTAGTCTAATTGAACCATTGCAGTCACTGTCAATAAAGTCAGATGGACAATATGGATTACTTGGAATACACCTGTCAGCCATAAGGTAGTTATGAAGAGCCACAATTGCCTTTTTAGCTTGCACTGCAACGTCAACATCTGCCGTAATTGCTCGTCTGAAAAGTCTGAATCGTGAGGTGGCAATGCCAAAGGCATTTTCCACAATTCTTCTTGCACGGGAGAATCTGTAATTTGCAATTCGCTCGGGGATCTGGATCTCTCCCCTAGGATAGGGTTTCATTAAATAATTTTTAAGAGGGAAAGCATCGTCTCCAACAAACAGATATGGTACACTAATATTGGTCCCAGGTAGCAGTCTTGGGGGTGGAAGGTTTAATTTGTTCTGTTCCATAGCAATACCAAGTTGGCTACTTGAAAAAACGCTACCGTCACTTAGACGTCCATAGTCGCCTATATCAACTATCGTAAATTGATATTTTGCATTCACAACTGCCATCAGGACAACACTGTGGAACTTCTTATAGTTAAAAAACATAGATCCTGCTTGTGAAGGACACTGGATAATGATATGCTTACCGTCAATCGCCCGACGCAGTTCGAAATTCCACCTTCTCTCAAAGTCTTGACTTATATCTAGCCATTCTTTAGACGAACTCGAACAGATAAAACCATTTTCTGCCATAACATTCCACAAAGCTTTACAAGTCTCCCTTATAATTCGTCCCACACATCACTTAAACGGTAACTTGCTGCAATAGTTCTAAAGCGCCTCCAGTGACCAAATATCTTAAAGTGACGAAAGCCTTTCTGCAGGTCCAATAGCTTCTCTTCTTGCATGCCAGCGTGTTATTTTTGGTGCAACTAAGGTCAGTAATTCTTCAAACTTGAAAGGAGTCATACGAAACAAACGAAAAAAAAATTCTTTGTCATATAACATAGCTTCTTTAACTAGAGTATGCTATTCTCCTTTTTCTTTCCTTTTTTGTAATATACTCCTTACCCAAAATCTTTCCTTGTATTTTTGTTTTCTTAATCTTCGTCTTAAAAGAATTAGCAGAAAAAGTCGTCGTCAATTATTCAGAGCCGCCATGTTTTGCTTAAATTTACCGCCATCTCTGGTGAAAATAATGGAAATCAAATCCAGCGGGCGGCCAACGCTCTCAAAAACAGATTTCGCCCGCGGGCGAAGCGACCGTAATGGAAAACCGCCTTTACTAGTTGACAAGTGTTCCGAAAATAAGAAAATGCCTCTGTGTGTTTTGAAGCATTAGTAAGAACATCATTATTCTGTTAATGATTTTTCCAGCTACTGAACTGTTAGGGAACAAGTGTTACATGAAAAATTTGTTTGTATTTTTATGTACTTTTGCCAAATTGAAACAATCAGTCATCAGTAATTTAGAAAAACAAGGTTAATCTAACCTTGAGGCAATGAGAAAATTATGGACATAACAAAATTATTCATTTAGGTGAAACATTTAGAAGCTTGTGCTTTACATTCCACAGAGGGCAACAGAACAATTACTGCAATAATAGAAGAAACAAGTATTGAAATATACTTTAATATGAAAAGTAAATTTCTAAAGGTAAAGCATTTCTCCTGTGAGCAACTTTTATTAAAAAAATAAACTGTATACCTTACTTGTCATGGTAATTTGCTAATTAATCAATTAATCAACATATTAATAATTTTTCACTTCTTGTTTGGGTGCATAATTACCATTGTTCAATTGTCAATTGTTATGCATATCATTTGCTTGAAACTCAGGACTATTAGGCAAAAAATTTTGTTGAGGCATAAAAAGACTTGCATCACAATTAATATGCTGTCTTTGTGCAGGCCATGTAGCTCCTTGAATTTGATGGTTTGGATAAAAAACACTTGAAGTACGACTGCTGGCAGGGTCAACATTAACTGATTGGCACATTGGTTGCCAGTTGTTTGGTTGTCTTGTCAGAGAACTTAGCTGATTTGTCTCATTTAGCCCTAATTTGTGCTTGAAATAAAATATTATTTGTTATATTTTGGGCCAAATGTCTGAATTTTGGATCAAACTCAGCTAACGTTTGGGATACATATTGCCCAAAAACACTAATGGCATCATCAGCTCCAGTGCTATCTTATTTTTTGCCTTTTCTTTTGTCTTTCACAAAGTGATTGGGTCAATGCACTGAGCAAGTTTAACTCTTCCTCTGCATGCCTTTTTCTTGCTCTTTTACTGTATGACTTTCTTGAAGTCATGCTAGTTTTGCTAGTGATACTAGCACCATCATCTTCATCTTCATCAAGAACACTTGATTCTAGGATATCGTCATGAAAGCTCTTTTCATTTACCAACAAATACTTGTGTGATTTATGAGGTGAATCATTATCATCAGGAGGTGATAGCTAAAAAGTGAATTTAAATCAATATTAGTTATCTTTGATTTTCAGACTCCATCCACAAAAACAGAATGGCTGGACATATCTGAAGAGTTACTAACAAAATGGAACTACCCATTTTGTATAGGTGAAATTTATGGAAAGGATGTTGCTTTTCAAAATTTAATTCACGGGGGCTCTGAGTTTTACAACTACAAACACTTCTACATTGCATTATTTTTGGCTGTACTTGATGCAAACTACAAATTTATACATACTGGAGCAGGAGCAGCCGGACGTGCAGGAGATGCTGGGATTTTCAATGACTCATCTTTCATTAATACTTTTAGAAGTAATTCTTTAGATCTAACTCCTCCATCAACCATTGAAGGGATTTCTGAAAAAATAAGCTTTCATTTAGTGGGGGATGAAGCTTTTGCTCTAACAACAATTATGATGAAACCATATCCTCATCGGTCTTTGAATAAACAACAAAGGGTGTTCAATTATCGCTTATCTGGAGCAAGAAGGGTTGTAGAAAATGCATTTGGGATTTTGCCCACAGATTCCGTGTTTTCTTGTCAACAATTAGATTAAGTCCTGAAAAAGTCACCTATTTAATATTAGCTACATGCTGCCTACACAACTACCTAATTGAGAAAAACAAACACACCTACACAGGTGCTGCTAATGTAGAACAGAATGACTGTACATTTTCGAATGGAATGTGGAGAGAAGACCCTTCAGTGGTGAGATTATATCACTCAACTAACAGAAACTCATCACAACATACTAAACATCAACGCATTCTTCTAACTAACTGCTTTTCTGGCCGTGGCTCAGTCCCATGGCAAAAAGACATGATATAACTTTGTTTGAATTTATGTGTATATTTATTGCTTGTGTCCAAAACTTGCAAATAGTTTTGGGTACTTCATAAATAGACTCCATTTATGTTACCATCTGTTTTTCATTCATACATAAACATTACTAATGTCAAACATAGCTTCGTGTTAAGAGCATGTTGTTATTATAATTATCTAATGCCAATGCACCAGTGAACCTTCTAAACTTCTTGGCAACACATGTTGGAACTTATGTAAATAAGTAATAGATAATTGTTATTTCATAATAGGAACTTATTGAAGAACGGAAATAGGAAATAATGTTAATACTTTATTAGTTGTGACACGTTGAAAGTCAGGGTTCTTCAGTCGTTGGCTGTGAATGTAAAAGCTTGAAATGTTTAAGATTATCTGTGATGTGGAATAGTTATATTGAGTAAAATTTAGAATTGTGTGTCGACCGCGTAGAGTAGGGCAGTACACATTCCCAAAAACGAATCGGCAGACGCATAACTGCTTTGTGCTAAAGCACAAAGGAGAAAATTGCCACAAACCACATCTAACATATAGATGGTAAAAATGAGAACATAGTTTGCACAAAAATACTTACAGGATCGAGCGACGAAATCGAACGTTTTGTTGCTATGCGTGGCTCAAGAATTTTAACTTGTCCAGAACCGAGTGTTCTTTTCAATAAATTTTGTGTAGCTATTACGTAGGGCTTTCAAACGTAATTTCACCCTCAACTAAATCGTGTTGTTCTGCCTGGACTGCCATTTTGGTTTGATATGAAATTTATTGAGCATGCGCTGTGATGAAAACACAAAAGCAATTTGCTTTAAGATGCTGCACACGGACAAATCGAAAAAGCATTTCACCACGTGTGGCAAAAAATATCAATCATGTTAGATATTTGCCAGTTCTGCCTGGAAAGGCAAAAGTCGTTGGAAACAGCAAACTCAGTGACTTCCTCCTACTTTTCACTTGCTTGGAATTCTTTTGGACAGATAGCTTTATCCTGGCAGTGTCGCAGTCTTGCGCACCTTTGGTCGTAAATACCCCAGGCATTATGTCTAAATCATGAAAAATGTTAATATAGGAGATGTCTCAATCATTAAATTTCAACACTGCCAAATATGTTTGTAAAGAGACAGTTTCTTGCTCAACATATGTAGTCTTGGGGCATCTGTCCCAAATGAGTCCATTCAAACACTCGTTCGGATTCTGTGTCAATCCATGTGTACATTTCTTCAACATATCTGGGTCAGTTAGATCATTGAATATTGGCTCAATTAGTTCTACTATGGGCCCAGGAATACCAGTCTTGTGTTGGTAGGTGGTGTGATCTCTTTGGTAGCCATACCAACTATCTTTTCCTTTTGGAGACAGGTGATGCTGAGGATTCTTCTCTGAGGAGGCAACATGGAAAAGAGATGCCCTAGCAGCTTTGGCCATTTCTTCAACACTATTAAGGTTTCCCTTATTGCCAAACCATAACAGTTTTGAAGAATGTCCATCTTTCGCGTAGTTAGCAGACCTTTTCCAGACAAACCTTTACCATCCGAGAGTTTTCTCCCTTTGTTCAAGGTTTTTAGTTTCTGCAGTCTTCTTCCGACCCGCTTTTGCACATGCCCAATGCATTCCAACTTTTTGAGTATGCAAACTTCTCCATAAGGTTTTCTTTCCACAAATGAAGTATAAGTTGATGAGTCCCCATCACCCAGCATATCTTTATACCTCAAATACCGTGTGTCAAGTGATCTTTCAAAGATCCTAATAGCACCCACCATCTCCATGCTGCTAGAACTCCCAGTATGATTAATTTTGCACTGGTGAGTGGCTTTCCATTGTGCGACGAATAACCACGCTTCTGCCAAGTGCCATCAATGGATATCCCACATTCGCCAACCTCGTTCTATATGATATCCTTTATTTGGACAACATTATTCACCATGCTGTCATTCGCACATTGCTTCACAACAGGCAAAAGCTTCTTATTTTGAATCTTTGTGAAGTTTTGGCAAGATGGTGGAGTAGGCATGTTGAGAACTTTGTTGAAAATCTTCATAGCACTGTATCCTTTTCCAATTTCTCTGAAAGCTAAGACAGCACGGACATTGAATTCATAGGATTGCCCTTGTTTCTTTGAAGTATAAAAACAGTACTTCCAGTCACAAGCCACACACTATAAAGACACATAATGTGCATATCCATGCTTTTTGTTCATGTCAACAAGTGAGTTCATTGCTTTCCCACAGTCCTGACATTTCAGAAACTCATTTAAGACTATAAATACAACTGATAAGTCCATAAATATAGTACCTTCTTTATAATGTTGGAATGGACAACAAAATTTGCTGTCTGATTACCAATTTTCTCACCGGAAGATCCAACCTCTTTGTCACAAGGTTCGCCATGCTTGCATTTCTTTGCCATTTTAGAAGGCGTTTTTCTCACCCGTTTTCTACCTCTATTTTGATGATTTCCCATCATTTAACTTCAAATCCCCCAACAAAATAACAAAAACAATAGTTGGGAAATAAAAGCAGCAAATTTAGCACTTGAAATGTTACAAAACTAAGAAATTTGTAGACAACTTCGCTGAGAATGCAAACGCATTGATCTCGAGACAGACAAAAGACTTTCATTGCCATGGCTCCCCAAAGGAACCAATTAGAATACAGTTATGTCGGAAGACTCTGAATTCAATGCACCAAAAGGAGAAAAAAAAATGACAATTTTTCGACCAATATTTCGACCAAATTTTTAGGTAATCTCAACCTAAATGCGTTGCTAGGCCGTTGCTATGGACTAAATTCTTAAACAACATAGCCTTGAAAGCTTTTTGGCCGTAATGTATGTTTTTCAAAATATAAAGAACAAAGTCTTAAAATTAAATATTTAAGGCTCCCAAAAAATTAATAACTTTTTTTTTGAAAATTTGGTCGAAATACAGTTTATAAGAGGTGATGACCACCTTAACTTGCTATTATCATTCCCAATTAACAAAAATGTAGCTTCAAAATAAAGCAGTACATAATATAGGCATTCAAATGCTTATTTATGGAAACTATGATTGAGCAATAAACTAATGAGATGGACTTAGTTCTTTGGTGCTGCATTTTAACGCTGAAACCCACTGTGCAGTCACTTTAGTCGCACGACTAAAACTACCAAATTGCACAGTCACCTAGCTAGAAGTTTTAGTCGCGAGTGTAGTCGCTTTGGAAGTTTAGCATGTTGAACTTTTGACCTTGGTCGCTTCAGTCGCTTGCATGTGATTGGTTATTTCCTAGCTCAAAATGCTAATTTACGAAGTTAAGGTGAACAAAGACGGCTGGTTACAAAGAAGTGCTCATAAATTCTTTTTGCATTTTCCTGTATTATTTGATCTTGAAGACAAAAATTATAAAAATGAGCCGATGAGAGTGAATGCGTGGCATCAAATTCTAGACGATCTGAGAACTGTTGGGTTCACAGGAACAGGTAAGGAGCAATTTATTTATCTTTTATATTTTTCAGTGATGTCGTGATAAGACATGTTGTTTGTTGAAATTTGGATTGTTTGAGATATTGAGCATAATTTTGTTTTATCAATTTTATCAGTTGAGAAGCTCAAGGCCAAAATAAAAAGCCTTAGAGATGTATACGTCAGATACGAAAAGAAAAACGATGCTGCCATAAAATCAGGAGCTCCATTCTCATCCACACCATCATGGGAGTTTTGGGGTTTGATGACATGGTTGTAGGATAACAGAAAGTGCCGACGGTAAGGCATACATATTAACATTTATGTCTCCTTTTATCATTGTGTAATTGTAAAGGGCTGAATGTGTTAAGTAGCATTATGATCATGAATTTCAAAAGTGTTAATTCTTTATATAGAACATCAACTAACATGTCTGTCACTGTGATTGAAGATGCATCAGTCAATGAAGTTACAGATAAAAGCATTGGTGCATTGACACTCACAGTAGATAATCTGGATTGCAGTCAGTTTTCTGAAGCAGTCGATCCAACTTCGCACTCAATCTCATTCCAATCCAAATCATCACCATCACCTATTTCATCAAACTCAGCTTCATCATCTAGAGCAGCAACACCATCGGCACCACCTCCACGATCAAACAAAAAGAGAAAGAGAGTTCTAGATGATGGTCCTAACAAATACCAGTTGCGGTTGCTGAGCAGTTTGTAAAAAATTACTCAACAATCAGCATCTCCCCCCACTGAGTCATCAATGGATGAGTATCAACATTTTGGCAGAAGCACAGCATTACAAATCAGAAAGCTTCCTTCTGATTACCTTAAAGCACTGGCTAAAAAAAGAATCCAGGATGTTCTTTTTGACATTGAATGTAATGAAAAATAATTGTGCTTTACTCTGTATAACAACAAAAAAGTAAAATAAAATTATATCAATGAGTTCTTTCCACATATTCCTGCTGCCATGAAAGTTGACCAACTTCTGAATTAAAATACATTGCAAACTTTTCTCTGATTTTGGATGCTTCACTACTGTAGTTTCTTTGTTGCCAGCTAGTGGTTCAAGCACACGGGTTGTTTCTTGCCTCCAAGACCCTTCATGAACATTTCCTGATGGATCCACAGTATCTGTGAAACCAGCTGGACTGTAGGAAACATGGCGTGTTTGGAGGAAATTGTGCAAAATGCAAGTAGCCTTGACAATTTTGGACACATTTTCTGGTTCTGCTATAATGGTTGTTTTAAGTATTCGCCACTTGGATACCATTATACCTGATACAAATATCGATTGAAGAGAATATTGAAAAGTGTCTGATTTGAAACTCCATAAAGAAAATGAGCATGTAAATACAAACCAAAGGTGTTTTCTATTGTTCGCTGAGCTCTTGACAATCTGTAGTTGAAAACTCTCTTTTGAAGGCAATCCAGTACCCTTCCTGGATAAGGTCGCATCATCCAGGTTTTAAGAGGAAATGCCTCATCTGCAACCACAGTATAGGGAAGGTTTTCATTTGTTCCTGGTAAAGGCTCATCAGCAGGTAGATGCATCTCACCTATCAAATAAAATTTATAAGGTGAACACTACTTTCAACACTGAATACTTTGAAGAGATATGATACCATTTAAAAAAGCTGATCCAAATTGTGAATTAGCAAAACTCCCCATCACTCCATCTCCAAGCTTCACCAATATCCACAAAGATAAATTTGTACTGGGAATTGCACATAGCCATTAACACCAAGGAAAAGTGTTTTTTATAATTGAAATACAAAGATCCAGAGTTTCTCGGAGCCTGAACAGCGATATGTTTTCCATCTAGTGCTCCAATGCAGCTTGAAAAATTTCATGTATAAGCAAATCTGAAAACATACAACAAACAATGATGCATTGGCACCACAAATTTACAATAAAGTAACCCTTTCTCATAATCATGTTTTAACTTAACCCTTCAGATATTTTCTTCCAGTCACTTGGCTGCAAAGGAGCCTTCATGTGTGTGGGGACCAGAACTCTCCAAAGTGCGTTACACGTATTGTAAACAACCTCACGAACTGTGCTAGCCCCACGACGATAAGCAAATGCTATAGACTGTGGGCTATCACCTGTAGCCAATCTTCTTAATGTGATTGCTAGTCTTTCAGCAGGTACAACTGATTGCCTCATTTGAGTATTTTGCTTACGAAGAGATAGACCAACCAAAGCCAGCAGCTCGTCAAATATTTGAGGCCTCATATGAAAATACGGATTAAACTGCTCCTCATCGGTTCTTAGTTCTTGAACCAAGTGCAGAAAATCTCCTTGTGCTCTCCTTTGCCTGTTTAATTGACGAACCCACCACCTTTTCATTTTATTTTTTTCCGCTTTTCAACCTCTTCCAGCTCGTACAAAATGCAAACAGATGCTAGTAACTTAGCCTGATGTCTAGACGCCATGTTGACAGTCGCAATGTGGTCGCAATGCTCGCTTTTGCATGTATGTTTCTGACGTTCAAGCCACTAACGCGCGCGCATCAATTCGCTTTAGTCGTGCAGCCAAAGCGACTGCACAGTGTGTTTCAGACTTTAGAATCCTCTTTAAAATGCATGTTATGAGATTATTTTTTTATATTTCATTATTCAATTAAAAGGGATGAACAACTTTAACGTTTATTTCAACAGAAACTAAAGACCAATCTAAGAACACATGAATTTACTTGTGTTACAGTCAATTGTTACATTATAAAACTTTAAAATGTCATGTACAAATTTTTAAATTTTTAAATTTTCCAAAGTGACTTAGTGAGTATAGTTAAAGAACATTGACTAAGCAGAATTTGTTCTGAATCAAACATAAAATAATTTGATGCAGAGGCGGATTTAAACTTAGTCAACTAAGTCGGGCGACTAACGTATTAACGTGTCACTTTCAAAAATTCCGTGGGTATTCCTTAAATTATAACACTTGAGTTCTTTAAAATTTCCGCAGGATTTGGGTCCATATACCGATTTTGATTGGTTTAAATTGATCAATTTGCGAGCATTCATTGGTTACCGTATCGTGCAGGATCTGCAGGATCTATGTTCATTCTGTGATTCTGATTTGCCCAGACGAACCAGCTATATAGCTGTAATTGGTGGAGATTTCTTGCAGGATCTATACCAATTTAAAGCTTGTGATTGGTCAACATTGTTAGTTTTTTGCAGGATATATCTATTTTTGGTATATGATGTTGCTGAATCTTCGGATTTGATTGGTTGTTGTAGCGAACTTAGTCGGAATATAGTTATATGAAGCAGACAAATGTCTGCTTCATTGCGCTTGAATATTTATCGATCGTCATGGCTAACTCTAGCAGTATTTTAGATCGGGTTCTCTCTGACTTAAAAAAAGTGATGATGTTGCTTTGCTTAAGACCTTTGAGGAATTATGTGGTATATATAATTCTTCTCGTTTCTTAATGCCTGAAGAGCATTTTCCTTTAATTGGACGATCTTTGTATCGTGATGTAAATGCTGAGACAGTCTATTTGCCTCATCATGTGAAGGCCGACAATACGAAGCCATCGGTTGCTCTAAGGTAAAATTAGTTAAATTAAGATAAGTAGAAATGAATATAAGCCTAATTGCGTAGTTGTTATGACACGTTAAGACCAAAACTGCCGATTTGTTGTCATTTCATTGTTGTTGAAATGATCGCTTTTAACTCGCTTTGTTGACATTGCATAAATTGTTGCAGTCTTATAATAATCAAGAAATCTTTCGACTGCTGGTTTATTAGATCTGAACCATCTGGAAATTGTCTATACAGCTCTGCTTCTCTGGCCTTGGTTGGAAGCAATGCTCTCATTCACACTTTGAGAGCTATGGTATCTATAGAGCTTTTTATATATGCAAATTATTATTGTTATCATCCAATATTTACTTCCACCTTAGAGAAGCATGGTGACAAGGTCTCTGTTAGTGCAAAAAATGTTTTGGCTATGTCCTGTTGTTTTGAAAGTGTGGATTCACGTTTATCAGGGCTTGATCTTGTTAAAATGGAAGCTCTTTGCAACTTTAGAGATAAAATTTGGGGTAGTTTTTGTGTATACTTGCTCTCCTCAGTTACTAATAGAATCATTTCTTTGATGTATCCTGATTGTGGAGAAGTTTCTTTTAAGTTGTTATTCAACCAAATTATTTCACCTCGTCTTCCTTTACCAACACCACCTACTCAATATTACTATTTATACCTCTTGTTTTCTTCTACAACTCTATTGACTTCTAGTAAAGTCTTTAAGCCAAATCACTTTGCACCTCTTATTTTCAAACCTATCAGTAAAACTAAAAGAAAGGCTTCTGCTTTGTTAGAAAAAGCTAACAAGAAAATTCCTCATGTTCAGGCAAAGTTGAAAGGAGAGTCTTCTACTGTTAACATTTCTAATTTTTTTCAACCAGTTTCAACCCCAGCAAGTAATAAGGCTAAACAATTTATTTTGCCCAAATTATTTAGTACTACACAAACACAATCAACACAAAAGGTGCCTGCCATCACTAGTCTTGGTTTAATACATAACCCAAAACAAGAACTTTTGCAATCATTTTCATTAGATTTTTCACAGCAATATCCAAATGATTTGAGACATTTTAGAGAAAAAGCTAGAAATATGAATGATTCTCAAAAGCTCCAGCTCATTCACAATGTTTTTAAACCGAATAGATCCTACCCATTTCCTAAATCAGCTGATGGTCGATCTTTTCTTTATTCGTGGCTGGAAGATTATTCTTGGTTGTGTTACTCCCCTTCTTTGGATGGTGCTTTTTGTCTGCCTTGTGTTTTGTTTGGTGATCAGTTTCCGAATAAAAATACAAAAATTAAAAAACTTTTTAGTGAACCAATGACATATTGGCCTGATGCTAAAGCTAGCTTCAAATGCCATATTGGTTTGAGTTATAAGGCTCTCACCAGAGCAGGTTTGCACGAAAGCACACGTAATAAATATTTGTCATTAGTTTGTCAGGCATCAGGAGAAGGACTGCAGATTGAGGTGTTGATTGATGAGCACAAACAGCAAGTCATCAGGCAAAATAGGGAAAAACTTGTATCAATAATTGATACTATTAAACTTTGTGGTAGACTTGGGTTAGCATTAAGAGGGCACCGTGATGATTCTTCATATCATCCGGAGGTTGGTTCTTACTCAAAAGGTGGTGTTGGTAACTATGTTGAATTGTTAAATTTTCGTGTTCGGGCTGGTGACACAGTTTTAGCTGATCATTTGAAAAACTGTCCAAAGAATGCTTCTTATATTTCAAAGACTACTCAAAATGATCTAATTGCTGCTTGTGGACAGGTTATCACTGAAAAAATAACTAGTGAAATAAAGCCCCTTTCACACGGGGAAATTTTCTTTGACAAATGATATGTGACAAATAAATTTTGTCCATGTGAATGAACAATTTGTTACAAATTTTTTATGACAAATGAATCAGTGGCGGATACAGGCCAATCGTTTACCTCCCTCAAAGTAGCATTACTATGAGTGCTCGTTTTAGCGCCGCAGCGCTGTAACTTTTTTGATCGTAAGAGCAGCGCGGTAACAGGGGGCGGCGCTTAAAAGAAGCAGTGGCAAAACAAGGATTTCGGATTAAAGAAGCACTTAATACAATCAATAATTCTGACTGTTTCGCTCAATATCAGAGCTCATCAGCATGCCTAGGCATGCTTCTAAAAAGCAGCCAGACATGGACAGTCAACTTGACTGCCATTTAGTTAAATGGTTGCAAAACTTTGCCTTAATGATGCTATTATTTTAAGTTCCTTGTTTTCATGTTTAATGTTTGATTGTTGTTAATAATGACTATACGAACTTTAATCTTGTGTTATCCATAGCAAATCTGTCGATAACTTCTGACGTTTCGGGCACAATTTCTTGATGAACTCTCATCATGGCCAAACCGTTTAGACGCTCTGAGACCATCGTACTTCGCTTATAATTTTTCAGTTCGCGCAAAACTGAGAAAGAGCGTTCGCATTCGCAAGATGTGATAGTAAGGGTTCCAAGAATACGAAGAATAATTTTGATGTTTTCAAAGCCTTCAAATTTTAAAGCTTTTAAAGTTGCTGAAATTGAGTCTGGAATGGTTCCTTCGTAATCAACCCAATAAGTTTCCCAAAGCAAAATCTCTGAGTCCAAAGCCAATGGATTGGGTAGGTCATCGTGATAAAAATTTGGAAACAACTTTGAATTTTTCTTTCCAATTCATGCCATTGTTAAGAAGAGAAATCATTTTATATGGTACAATGCTAAGCCCATTGTACACATTAACGCTATCAGTATTGAAACGAGCTTTCAACGCAGAGTTTAGGTGGTCAACAAGTGGAATAGAAAAATTCTTTTATAGTACTCAGATGTAGTTTTATAGGGGACATTAGCTCGTGTTGTCTGTCTTCCCACTGTCCTTGGCTTTGCTTCATCAATATCTAATTCTCGAGCCAGTGCGAGACTCTTCATACCATGTATCGTGATACTTATCAATGGAATTCCTAACATTAACAACAAAAGTTTTCAACGATGTAATAAGATGTAAACCATCCATAATGTCAATACTCTTCCCTTGAAGAAGCTGAGTAACACCAATTGTAGAATCAAACACATTTCTACAAATAACCAGGGCAACAACAAAATCAAACTTTTCCAAAAGATCAAGAAGTTCAGAGGCATCCGAAGAAACATTGAGACTGTGATCTTTATCTACATTTTTCTTCATTTCTCTCAACGTTTTAAAACAGGAATAAGAAGCTGCTGGAAAGTATCTAAGCCGTGATTCTCTCAACCCACCTAGTTCGACACACATCTATTAATTTCTTTTTCCTACCGGCTGATAAAGAACCATGAAGGTCAATATTCTTTTCTAAAGGTATTTGTCGTAGGGAAATATTAAAAAATCAGAAACTTTTTAACTCTATTGAGCATCGATTTTACATCCATTATATTAATAGACTCACAAATCGCTAAATTTAATCTGTGGCTGTAGCAATGGGTAAAAAGAGCCTTATCATTCAAACGACGCAAATGAGCAGCCATCCCATTAATATGACCAGCAACAGCACCTGCCCCATCATATCCCTGTCCTCTACAATCAGCAATAGAAAGACCAAGGTTGCCTAAAGCATCAAGAAAACCTTAGCAAGCTGCTCACCTTTTAAGCCCCATTTACAAGGAAGAAATCCAACAAACTCCTCCCTAATATCCATATTTTGGTCGATAAAATGCAAAACAAGAGACATCTGTTCAGTATTTGAGATGTCTCGAGCCTCATCAGCAATTACAGAGTAGAACCTGCTTGCTTTTAAGTCAGAAATGATTTTATCTGTTATTACTTCACCACAGCATTTAATAAGCTTGTTCTGGGAAGTTTTAGAAATATACGTCTGATTCCTACCACATGAATTCAGATGGTCCTCTAACACCTTGTCCCCAGCACGACTCTAAAATTAAGAAGTTCAACAAAATTCCCAACACCACCTGCAGAAAAATTACCAGTTTCAGGATGATAGTGCCCATCATCACGATGACCTCTAAAGGCTAAGCCCAAACGACCACATGTTAAGACCATATCGGTAATTGAACTTAATTTAGCCCGTTACCTTCAACTTCTTTCTTAACCTTAGAATCAATAATAACATTAATGCCTTTTGTTTTACCAGACATGTTAGATTTGAAGGCAGAATAAACTGGAAAAGTAGAAGCATGCAAACCATTCAAACCATGAAAACTCATTTTGCCATCACTCTCTTTGCCATCATGACGTTTTAGCATTTTGGATGCATCTGTCCAACGACGAAGTGGCTGAGAGAATAGGTTGGAAATTTTGAGGCCTTATCTTTAAAATTATCACCAAAAGGACACATGGCAAACAAAACCCCATCCAAGGATGGAGAATAACATAACCATTCATACCTTTCTAACCAATCATAACGAAAAGATCTTCCATTCGTTTTTGGGAATTCAAAATTTTCATCTGGTCTATAAACATTTACTATGAGATTGTAAACTTCCCCATCGCTCATGCCTTTTCTTTTTTCTCTGAAAGTTGCAACATCAAAATTAAGGGGAATATGACAGTCAACAAGAGAAGAAGCCTCACTAAATGACACTATTTTATCAGAAGGGGGTTTTTTGTAGCAAGTTGCATCAAGAGAAGAAGACTTGTCAATACATAAGGTGCTAAGGCTAGACTTATCAGTTTTAAAATTACTGTTAGAAGGTTTATCAATGCAAGACAGCTGGAAGAATCGCTTAATATCTTGGTGTTCTTGTAGAGAAGAGTTGTCAGGATGCTTGCACTTTTTGTTACACACTTTATGTTTTTCATTTTTTGTTGAGCAAAGAAGAGGAACATAATGGTTTGGCAAAAAGCTCTCGCCAGACTTAACCTTGCCTTCATAGCAGAATAATATGTGAACAGCAACATCCTTCACAATTGCTTCATTTGCCAAGCGAGGGTTTACATGTCTATTAAAAAGTAATTTGGGTCTTATGTCCCCACAATCTGGATAATAAGTAAATATTTCATTACCAATAACTGATGATAAGCCCAGAATACACAAGAAAGGTGACCAGGTACCATCATAACAATTTAAAATAGCTTCTTGCTTAATTAAATCCTCATTCTTTAAGCCGGAATCTAAACATGAGGCCGATACTGATAATGGCAAAAGATTAACAAGACTAAGGTCATGGTGCTCAGTCACTGCCAAAGAAAATGCAGGATGTTTATTGTAAAAATCACAATGAAGGTATAGCTCAAGGGAAGTCAGTATTCTTAAAATACTTACTAAGCTGTTGTCTCCTACAAGCAGCAAAGATACTGAGCTGTAAAGACAATTCCCTGATGCTTGAGATCTACAAGGTTCAAAATAATCCCTCTTTAGTTTAAATTTCTTTTGTGTTGTACTAAACAGCGTAACTTTAAATATTAAACATCCAATAATGTTATATTACGTATTTAAAAACAGCTAAGCACATGTAACATTGCCATATAAAGTTATTCATTCAGATTCTTAATTTTCCTTACATAAATAGTATACCAGTATTTCAGTTAAATTTATAAGTTATTATTCGCTTATTTAATTATTCGAATAAAATACAAACTTCGATTGGTAAACGAAGGATTTCTGCACTGGCAAGTAATGCAAAATATAAGAATTACAAAACATCAGATATTGACAAGCTTATTAAAAATTCAGATAAAGCATCGTAATCGGACAGAAGTAGAATAAAAGCTAAATTGAACAGCCATATCAACACATCGTTACCTGATTGCAGTGTAGATCTTTCCCTGCGATTTCATACTGCTTGGAATATATGTCTCAGCAACAATATGCCGGTACAGTGAATTGCCCAGTTTTGATCGAAGCAAGTAAGATGAACATCTTGGCTTTGAATTCAACTGCCCGCGTAGCTCGTTGTACAGAAGCAACAGAGCTTCTTTGTTGTTGCTGTTCATTGCCTCTTGGGCTTCTAGAAAACAATCTCTATCCATTTTCAGAAGAAATTGCGTGCGGTAAATGTTAACGATACTAGTATCTCGAAAGTCGAAAGTCGAAAATAGTGAGGTACGCTTGCTGTACTTGAGGGAGTTGATAAAATGCACCAATAAAATGCACTGTTAGAATAAACATGGAACATCGTAACCAATCATAGACATTATTCCAAACAAAGTTCAAGGTCAAAAACCAGCTAGTGCCTCAAAATATTCTCCTTATGCCTCAAAATTTTCCTTGGTACCTCAAAATTTCCTCAAGTCCCTCAGAAACCATGGTAACTGCAAGTTTTAGCCAATCAAAATGCTCATTCAAGCTTGGGTACCTCAGTAGCCGCTGACAAGTACCTCAAAAAAATCGCTTTGCTTCAAAAAGCAAACTATAAAAACTGGAATCAGATTTGAGTATTTTGCGATCAGATACTGAACGCTGATCGCAAATAGTAACTTAACTCAGTTAACTGGACTAAAACCTATGATCTCAATTATTACGTAATTCTTTGAAAATTTTATGTACCTCGCGTGAGGGTCTTGAGGTACACCCTAGATCCGCCACTGAAATGAATTTGTTCAAAAGCTGGGTTGTTAGCTTTTTTTTGTCGTATAAAATTTGTCAATAATCAAATTTGTCCGTCTGGACGACCATCACATCAAATGTGTCAAATTTTATCAAACAACATGGCGAGGAGAACAAAACATGTGATTTCTTGGACTGACAGCAGTATTTCTTTACTTCTCGATGCCCTTAACACAAGAGAGAGTTTGTGGAACTCTAAGCTGACATCGTACCGAGATAGAAATATAAAGAAGAGAGAATATCAAGAAATAGTTACCATTTTAAGCGCCGAAATTCCCGAAATGGATTTATCAGCTGTAAAAGGTAACAGTATTCAAAATGTAATTGTTTAAATTTGTGTTACACTTTGATAGCTCTTAAACATTTTCTTTTAATTTTTTGAAACGATGCACAGTCCCCTTCAGTAATTGGGTTGATGAATATTGTCTGGTCACTATAAGGGAATTTCTCAATTAGTATCAATATTCAGCAGGAAACAGAAACTGCTGCAAGTTGTCTGTAATATTGTTGTGAAGTATTTATTTTGCTACAGCTAAGATTCAAGGACTTGAACGACCTTTCGTGAAGAAATAAGAAAAATTAAAAAGTGAGCATACTGGTTGTGGATCAGCTGAAATATATGTCCCAAAATGGAAGTTTTCAATGAATGCTTCTTTCTTGAAGATGTTGTTGCATTAAATAGACCAACATGCAGTAACATTGAAGATGAAATAGACATTTCAATACAGGTGGCAATGAGCATGAAATTTGGGAATGGATGGAAATTCTGAAACTGGCAGCACATGCAGTGATACATCATTTGGTATGCATCCAAAAAAGAAAAGAAGCTCAGAAGAAAATGAATGGATGAAGACTGCAGCAAGTGCACTTACCAAGTTGTCCCAAGATAATGACGATCAACAGGATGAATGGGATGTGTTTGGGGTGGATGTTGCTAATTGCCTTAGAGCCATCAACAGCCCAGAGTGGCAAAGACGAGCTAAGTTTGCTGTGCAGTCTGCCATTTTCAAGCTGCAGAAAAGCTCGATGCACAGTTTCTAACTCTACATTACGTACAGATAGTACCATCCCAGTTATTGATTCATTTTTTTAAAATTTTAACAACTGAATATTTTCATTTTTAGAATTGATTTTTGAATACACTGCCTCTTACTTAATTAATTAAGAATGTTGATATTACAGTTTTTTAAGTGATGTACTTTTTTTCTAACAATTAATCTCTTCTATAGTGATTGTTTAGTTTCTAGGCTGTTGTTTTTTATTTTGTAATATGGACCTTACGTTCTACCGACAGCAATGCGAACGGCAACGGCAACGTGGGTGTAAATACGTGTACGCATGCGCCGATCAAAATAGTGCCGTTCTCGCTTAGCGTGCCCGACGCCATTCTCTTTAATTTGACGTTGTGTGAGAACGGCATTAATAAATTGCACAAACAATCGATGTCTTCTGAAAGAACAACATCAAGGTAAATTGTTTTGATATTAGACTAGTTATTTATTATAATTTTACAAGTATTGAGGCTTTAAAATATCATGTTAAGTCAAAGCTTCACTTGCTTTTGTATTTCTGTTTATATTTTTATTATATCTTTGAAGGATGAATTATTTAACTGCAATATACTTCGAGGTTACATTATTTTGCTAAGAAATCGTATTTTTCTGTTCAATTAGTGTTCCTATGAAATGGACTGAGCTGCATGATGAGATATTTGTACGAGAAATTTTGTTGATTCAACCATGGAGCAGTAAGAAAGCATCTCCTGAAAGAGGAGAAGCATGGGTGAAGATAACTACTTCATTGAATTCTTTGGAAACACCAACGTTTCGTGTAACTCAAAGGTCCGTACGTAATCGATATGCTGTGCTTGAAAAGAAACATAAGAAGAAAATACGTGATGAAAATCTTGCAAGTGGAATATCATGCCAGGAGAATGAAGTAGATCTTGGCATGGATGAAATTATTACATTGTTTCATGAAGCTGATATGGAGCACGAAAGAGCATCAAAGGAAAAGAAAAGAAAACTTGAGGAGGAAGCCAGTCAGGCAGCTGAAATGAGACAGCAATCCCTTGAATTGTTTGGTGAAATTCGCAAGAGATCAGAGTTTACTGATTCTGAGGTAAAAACTGCCAAAAGAAAACGCAGTAGTGGTTCAAAAAAAGTGAGAGAGAGGCTGAGTTGAAGAAGTAGGAATTGGAAATAATGCAGCAGCAAACTGACAAAGATTATGAATTAAAAGAAAATGACATGAAACTTAGAAAAGAAGCAATGGAAGTAGCCCAAAATCAAAATAATTCTGTGCTGAATCAGCTTATCGAATTGCAAAGGACTCAACAACAGCAATTCATGCAGTTGATGAGGCATCAGCAGGAGCAAAGTTCATGCATGATGGCCCTTTTGAATAAGTTAACTTCTGGAAAATAAACAATGACATAGACTATTACCAGAGAACAGCCTCCTCTTTTTGTTTATGCTGTGATGATAACAGATCAAAGTAAACTTGTTTACAAATCTCAATTGTTTCAGTTTTTTAAAGTAAATATGTAAAAAAGTATATGCATTTTCATGCTGTCTTTCATATTTTACAACTATTGTGCAAATGTTTAAATTTTTGCATTTAAATCCATTTATTAATGTTCTGTTTTGAAACAATTTCTTATGAACAATGGCGTTTTTTTAATCATTCACATGAAGTAATTGCGTATAGTGGGTGGGTCAAGGCCAAAGTATTTTGCTGTTGTTGTGCCATACAGGCATGCCCTTGCATTTTCTATAAGAGCACACACAACATACATTTTCCCAACTGCACTCAAACGTACTTTCAAATTTTTTTTAAAGTCCAAAAATTTGAAGTAATTTACAATGTCGCCAAACAACCATTCAACAGCTATTCTCACTTGACTCATAGATTTGTTCCATTGTTTTTGTTCTTCTGTAACTACAGCTCCTCGGAAAGGGCCCTGTAATTGTGGTCTGAGAGGGTATGCAGGATCACCATATATGCATAAAATATCCCCTTGCATGTTAAATGAACATTGCTGTAACATGTTGAGAATACCAGATTGGGCAAGCATTGCACTATCATGCCTTTTTCCTTCGACTGGACCATAAAGATTAGCTATCATGCCTGATGGTGTTGCAATAGATTGAAACTTAATAGCATGGACTTTCTTGTGTCCATTATAAAGTGTACGTTGCAATCGACCTGGTCGTGCAACAGGATGAACAGTCCCGTCGATGAACCCCCAGCAGTTGTTAAGAGCTGCACCCTTTTGGTGTATAACTGGCAAGGAAAGAAAGAGCTTCTAATTTTTTGTATAGTCATGGTATCTCATAAATCTTAGTGACAAACGTGTCACTTAGCCTTAATTTTGTATATTAAATAATTTCACTATGGGTAATCCTCTGAGCCTGCGTGAAACCATTTTGAAATTATTTGTATGATGTGTTGCATCATTTTAATATGTCTATTCAAGTTTGAATTAGGAATATTGGATGTAGTATTTCATCTCTTTCTCGTAGCACTTTTTAAAAGAACATTGAAAACGTCAATTTATGTGTGTCATACACAGCACAATTGCTTTTGTATCTCTGTGAAAATGGTACAAATATACAACATCTTCTGTCGCTAGACTTTTAAAATGACCACCACTAAGGTTGTCGAAACGTCAGTCAACATCAACACCAACAGTCCTTCTAAGGACTATACTAACCCGGGCGATCTACATCTTAAAATATATATTTTCAATATGAACATAATAGCCCAACATAATACTTTTAAAAAAGCCATCACAATAATAAAATAGAGAAGGATTTATTATTGTGATGGCTTTTTTAAAAGTATTATGTTGGGCTATTATGTTCATATTGAAAATTCGCTTTCCGCCTGGCAAATCTCTGGCCACGATTTTAAAATATATATGATGCGCGTTTTGATGAAGTTACCTAACATACAAGAAATATTCATCTTTTGTAAGGTCTTAATTAATGCATATGCGTTTTGATCTGGGAATAACAACAACTTTGTCTAATTGTGATACTTGTGAAGGAACAATTGACCTTATGAAAGACCAAATATTTAACTTCATCATTAACAGGGTTACTGACATTTGGAGTCATGCTCTCAAAGGAATTAATAAGTTAACTGTGTCACCAGTCAATAGCATATCTTTTCCTAAACAATACCTTTTTATAAAAGAAATCAGTTTGAGCTTGGAGTATCGTCAAAATTTATGGGAATTGAATGTTTAGGTCAGCGTTTCGACGTTTTCTTTAGCGGTGGTTTGTGTTACTTTTCTGTTTAGCTCGGCAAAATAACCATTAGATTCAGGTTATGTGTGTGCATATTCTTGGGGCGAGGTTAAAGGATTAGAATGACAGGGATGATGTAGAAAACTGAGCAATTTTACATCTTTGAAATGTCCCACGTTGTTGCTTTTTCTAATCAAACTCCTGTTGCTTTGTTGCAAAGGTGTGAAAGGCGAGTATCTGGCGCGCCTTAAAACCAGACTGCTCTCTTTTTGTTTAACGCTTCTCATTACATTGAGGCTGTCCATGTCGGAATTGCATTTTCACGTGGTGAGGGTGCCATTTCCTAGGCATGCTGATGAGCTCTGATATAGGGTGAAACAGTCCTTATAATTCATCATATTAACAATGTTGCGTTAGCAGAATTTTTAGCTAATACGACCATGCCCATTATTAAAATTTTGTTCGACCACGCCCTTCCGACTAAGGAATTAAAAATCCTGGATCCGCCCCTGTGATGAATGCAGTGCATTTAATTTAGACCACAAATTTTTTGAAAATAGACATGTTTTGACATCTCATGATAACATCTTCAGTATCAGTGAATAATTACATAAATAATACAAGATTTATATAAAAGAAATATAATACATAAATTATAACAATAATAAGGAAATGAAATAAATTAATGGGGAGCGTGTTACAAACTAAATATTGTGTTGAATTTAAGAACTTGAACGTTGACGTCATGGTTAGTTTTGTTAATGCGGAGTGCTTCTTTGATTTTAAGGGAGAATGAGGTGTCTGCACTGTCAATGATTTTGAAGCCAGAGGGTCAATAGTTTGTGGTTTTAAATGAGTGAAATTTAAAAAGGTGTCGGTAGATATGAGAGTTTTTGTCTGTTGTGGTATGGTTCCCTGATTCTGGTGGATAAATGGTGCAAACATACCACAACAGACTAAAACTCTCATACAGTGTTGCCAGATAAAATTTTTAATTGTTCATGTTCTCTGACATCAAAAGTTCACAAAAATTACCAAATGTTCATGTATTTACATTTTTAAAGTCGGAATGTGTCGGAAAATATCGGAAATTGTCGGAATAGCTCGGAGATTGTTTGTGACTGTTGAGCATACTCATAACATGACCAGAAATCACCAAAAAACGATAAATAATCAATTGAAATCAGGGCTTATTGTTGACACTCGGACATAATATTTGCTAAAGCCATGGCAAGAGGAGAAAGAAACTCACGCCTGGATCTAAGACTTAAAGCATGTCAATGATAGGATCTCCAATTGAAAATCGACGTCGTATTTGAGAAGCAGCTTTAATGTAAATATACATGAAGCAGCTTCAATGTAAATGTACATTCCCATATACATTTTTGACAATGGCATGAAATTCACTTTGCTGGCTGGATCGATGTCTTTTAATGGTAACCCTTTCCAGTAGGCTTCGTTTAAGTCTGACTCTGTGGCTACTCAGCACATGACATACCAAAAGAACTGTCTATATAATTATGTGGATTTCAAGAAACCATGCATTGTAAACCTAGGTGATGATCGAACCATATCAGCATATGGAAAAGGATCATACAATATTTTGGCAGATATCAATGGTCGTACCCAAAATATTAGTCTTCGTGAAGTACTGTATCTTCCAGAATTAGGAAAAAACTTGTTATCTGTAAGAGCAATGACAAGATTGGGCGCCTCAATAAAGTTTCAAGGAGATGAATGCTTAATCTCAAGAAATGGAAAGTTATTGGCAAAAGGTGAGATATGTGGAAAATTATTTGTGTTAAAAACTATCGGTGATGATCAAGTCAATGTTGCAAAGAAAATGTCTCAGGGAGAATTATGGCATTGTCAGTTTGGGCATTTGGGATATGATAACATTTCGAAACTTGCTAAAGGTAATATGGTTAAAGGAATGAATAATTTTCAAGAAGATGAAATCAAGTCTGTGTGTGAATCATGTATTATGGGGAAACAAGATAGGACTCCCTATCCAAAGAACGATATGTCACATTTATTGATGACCTTTCCCGATATACACAAGTATATTTCATCAAACAAAAACCAAGTCCTGGAAAAGTTCAAGGAATTTGTAAACTATGCTGAGAATTCTGGAAAGAAGGTGAATATCTTGTGCACTGATAATGGAGGTGAATACTGCTCTAAAGAATTCAATTCATACTTGAAAGAAAAAGGCATAACACATCAAACCACTGTCCCCCACAATCCAGCACAAAACGGAGTGGCTGAACGGATGAATAGGACACTATTAGAAACCGCTCGATCGATGATGGCTCATGCAGACATTCCCAATGAATTCTGGGCTGAGGCTGTGAGTACAGCAACCTATATAAGAAACCGAAGTCCTACTGCTGCTGTGAAAGAGGTAACACCATTTGAATGTTTCTTTGGTTATAAGCCAGATGTGTCAAGCATGAAGGTATTTGGTTGCTTAGCTTATGCCCATATTCCTAAAAGCAAACGGAAGAAATTAGACGCTAAATCCTCAAAATGCATATTTGTGGGTTACCCTGAAGGTACAAAAGGATTCAAATTGTTAATTTTTGATGAATGGAAGTTTTACAACTTTGACAATAAAAATTCAAACACTGCTAATACTTTTGAGATACAGACAACTTTTATGCAAACAGATGATGATAACGAAGAAAATGATGATCGTACTGTAAGAGAAGATAATATTTTTAATCCTGAACCTAATAATCCAGTGGGAGAAACTTATGAAGAAACTTTTATGCAACAAGTTAAGAATCTGAATTCGCGAAGAGAACGAAGACCCCCTGTTAGATACCCCGATGAAGAGGTATATGTTGCAGATGATCTCACTGCAGATATTAACGAACCCAGGAACATTAATGAAGCATGGTCATGTAATCAGAAAAAGGAATGGATTGAAGCCACTGATGCTGAGTATA